ACGCTTTCGCACACTTCCGCGGCCCTACCAGCGACTGCCGCCCCATGGCAGCACCTCCTCGGGAGAGGAATATTGCTCCCCGTTCTCCTTCCCAAGTAAGGCGCACCAGAACACATGGCACGCCTTCCTCCACGGCCTCCAATTGCATCTGCGCAACAGACGCCCCCGCGTCCGATGCGCGAAGGCCATGGGGCCAGGGAAAACGAGCACTTAGAAGTACTAGCCTTCCCGACCCCAGCGGCGGATCTGGTCTATGTCTCCGCCGCCAACCAAGATTCGGCTGCGGAGGATAGGGAGAGCGGCGCCTCGCAATACCGACAATCCTCTCCCCCCGCAGCCCCATCACCACCGCATCAACGGTGCGGCCCCGTTTGAGTCGCGGAGGATAGGGCGAGTGGCGCATCGCCATACCAACACTCCTCTTCCTCCGCGACTCCACCTCGGCTGCAGCGGTAGAGGGTGCGGAGTCCCCACTCGCTGCAGTCCGCCAGCACACATCCGAAGTGGGCTCCCCAAGCCCACTCGGAGTGGCCACCTCAGGCCGGCCCTTCACCTAGGGCCAGCCACGTGGGTTCCTCTTTGTTCACCGTGGGAGACCAAGCCACGGCTACTAAGCCCCCCCGCCACGACAAGGCGGGAACCCGTTCGGGGGGGGGGGTTGGCACCCCTGAGTACTAAGATAGAATGCCTCGTTTCAAGTAAAAAGGGTCTCTGGTTTTCCACACACGATACGAAACACATTGGTATCAAGCTCCTATTTTACGCTGGTATTCTGTGAGAGCGTGGTCCTGCCCCGGTAGTCCCGACCCTTTCGTGCTACAACCATAATATAGCTGCAGCGTTGTTTTATCACGGTGAATAATAAAATAAAAGTTTTACTTACTATTTTACTTACTATTTTATTACTATTTTATTAGCTGGTTTTTTCTTTTAAAGTATAAATCTGTCTGAATTTTACTTCAAAGTTTTATATAGTTTTAAAGTTAAATTTGTTGGAATTGACAGATGAGATTGATATGATCAATATTATCTAATAATTATTTGCATTTAAGACTTTGTATATTAGGACCACGGATGTATAAAAATAGGACAGAATATTGCATACATCCAATGCATACTCTTTTATAAGTCGACTGCTGGATAAATACGCAAGCTGAATGCTTTTTATTTTTAAAAAAAGTAGTCATATTAAAGGACCAGTTGTACTTATCATAACAGACTATCCAGTAGCTATAAAATATGTTTTCTTCACATTATATACATAACGACTCCGCCTTTTACAATTGATATCTATTAAATATATGTAAAATAATAATGGTGTGTCTGTAAGGATAGTTATTTTTATTTTTTATATTATGAGCCTTACAGCCAAAGACAGATGACCGAAAACTTTTAATCAGCGTTTTTATTCTACTGCTAGATCTGGAAACCACAGTAGCCCATCACTTCGCGTCTTAAATTTTTTATAGGACGAGAACAAATCAAGTTCGAGCCGCGCCCGGGCTACTACAATTATTATTAATAGCTGTTTTATGTGATGATTTTCTACGGGTTCAGCAATATAAGAAGACATTGTAAGTATATCAAAGAAATTATAATACATTTACAATAGTAATGTATGGAGTTGATAATTTGCTTATTAATTTATCAGACAGAGCGGTCACAAAACTTAGTAAGTCTAGAGCTGATAAAGAGATGGGAGCCACACACTGACAAAACAACTTCTTAATTGCAGCCACATGGCTTCTTCTGGCACGCTTTGCGTAAGGAGAAATAGGGAGAGGATATGTTCATCGCCCCTATACGTGCATTCTACCTAAAGCTGATAAAAATTTAAAGAGTTTATAGTTTCACGTATTTTCTACAGACGGTAAAACAACAAAATTCTAACTTATGGTAGTGTACCAGTATGTCGCATGTCTCGTATTGGTCTCAAATGCACTTTCACAAGTGAAATGCGCTAACTGCACATAATATCAGAGTGCAGGCCTCCGACAACTTCGACGACGTGCGTAAGTTGCAAGCTGAGTCATTGCGTCGTTTACTTTCTATTGCGTTAAATTATTATGTTTGACTGCGAGAACATCTCGTTGGCATTTAAAAAGACATATTGTGTGTTTTCAAGAAAATTTGTGGCAGTATTCACCCTTTGCTTAAAGACGAGTGTTACAGCCCTTTTTAATATAGGTCGAATTCTCTCCCTTTCCCTGTATTTTCTCTCTCTCACTTCACCCACATTTTTCTTTTATCACGTTTGACAGTATAGTTGTACAGCTTACCGACTCTTGCAATACAAACATATACCTATGTAATTACATTAATGTAAAGAGTTTGATATTTATTTAATTTTTTTTATTGCACGCCTCACATAGCTATCACTATCGCTATTACTACTTTTAGCTTCCTCATCACCGTACCACTTCGACCAGTGAAGGACTCAGTTTTGGTTCTGTAAGTTATTACTGGTAACGCGCACTAGTATTAAACGTTCGTTTAAATTTCTGGAGATCTTGTTCAATCTTGATGCAGATTTTGGCACGTAACCCAGTCGAATTGTAGTCGTGGATTGACCGTTTGGCCGGGGTTGAACTTACCTAATCAGACATTTTGTCGACGTACACTCGTCAACAACTTCAAACGTAGTATTATCAAGGGTAACATGGACGTTACACATAGTAGTTGTCTTTTTTTACGTTCATCTTAAAATCTACCTTTTTTCCTGTTTCTGAAATTTTGTTAAAAAAGATGGCCGTAGTAGTGATGGAACTTTCGTCACCGTAAAGACAGTTGTCTTTTTGCAGCCACTGTGTTACGTCCGCTATATGGCAGCACCGTATTTATAGGAAACAAGAGCTTAAATTGCTGCTTATTACCGGTCTGAATACGCTTATATGGGTACGTACACGAAACGCAAGAGAGATGGTTATATCGTCTGTACCAATAAGATAAAGAAGAAGAAAGACCATAAGATTTTCCAGGTATATTCGGTTATATTTCTTACGTGGTAGAGCCACGCTAAAAAAATATGCCATTACGAAATAGGGTGACAGATTATCTTAAGCAGTTATCACATATCAATCTAGTAATCTTTTATCTAACTACCTAAATATTTTTTAATATAGCATTGGGTGACAAAAGAGCACACAGTCCACCTGATGGTAAGTGGATGCTGTGGCTCATAGACATCCGCATTTATCTTCTATGAAGTATCAAAATGCAGATGCGTTGTCACCCCTCGGGACTAAGAAGGAATGGTTTATTCAGTACAAAGAGTCTTCGGTTCTCTACATTCAACATGCAAAACACAGCTGCTGCAATTTTACGCTGGTATTTTATGAGAGCGTGGTCCTGCCCCAGTCGAGGCGACCCATTCGTTCTACAACTATAATATAGCTGCAGCGTGGCTCTACCACGTAAAACTATGAAAAACGATATATGACATGGCATAAATATTATTCTCATTCGCTTTCAGAGTCCAGTGCTCGACTTAAACCTTCTACTAATGCTCTTGTTGTCTTACCAACACCCTCATGTTGGTAATGCTGATATCCATAACTAGTTGGAAGTATTTTTATTTATCATTTTGGATTGATTTTTTTCTACTTTTACCGTGTACGGAAGAAGTTGACATTAGAAGAAAAAATTTATACACTTATACTACCAAATGCAATTGTGAAATAAAACAAATTAGTATGACAATATTTTTATTTTAAATATTAATAATTTAAAAATAAATAAATATAAATGCATGAAAATTAAGGACGTAGCACGTACTAAATTTGTCAATGAACTCAACTCTTGTAAAATAATTTACTAAAAAACAGCTATTGGGGTCAGTGACCATTTGATGTGTGCTTGACCAAAATATTCTGGATGAATGAAACTCCTATTAGCCGAGTAGTGGCGGTTTAAGAATATCCACTACTCGCGATATGGGACTCTACTAGAGGCGATATAGGGAAACAAAATAGAAAACCGCAGTTGGCAAACAGCCTGCCCTGTGAGGCATCTGTTGTAAACATAACCCCTTTGGTCAAAAGCAGAAAGAAACAATCCCCAGTTCCCGGCTTCCTCGTTATTCCTGGTTACAGAGACCAATATTGTGACCGCGTGATTGGGGGTGCCAGCTCCGGTGGTTTTTCCCCTTTGACATTTTGGTTGAAAGCTTGGTAAATAATAGTGACAGGTGGCTCATGGCCGTACATTCTTAGAGGGAGGCCTTTGTTCAACAAATTACTTGTGATGTGGTGCAATGATGATGATAACTCTTGTCAACAAGGTTTTGAGGCAATTAAGCCTAAGCGAAATTGTTCTTTATTACAATGTGTCTTATTTCTTATGTTTGGATGATAAGATTTATGCATTATTCTTTTTTCTGCTTAAGTTGCAGTATTGCAGGATTCCCTATCTCTTACACACAAATTTTACAAGGACAATAAAAGATCATAAACAATTATTTTATACTTGTTTTGTACAGAAATCAAACCCCGATCTATTTCCTATATTAGTATAAGTTTTATTATAGATACATATATAAATAAATTTAATTAGATAATATCACATATAATAATTAACTGCGAAATACTTCAAAAACATATATTTTTTATTAAAATTAAACTACAAAATATCTTACAATTATTTGATTTTCACTAAATTTAAAAGCATCGTCAATTCAACTCACAAGATGACAAATATTGAGGTCGAACTGACAATAATTTAATAATATCTATTAAATTTTTGTTATAATATTTATTAACTCTATTACCTTTCTAAATAGCAAAAATACGCAGATTTAAAAACTACGCAATATTATTTACTCTTATTTACTCGCATTTTATTGTGACCATACCAACAGGTATAACCAAAGATTGAAATAATGCCACAATAATTTTATTATTATAATAAAAATATACTAAGATGCTCATAATATTATGGTAACTACTACACAAATATATCACCGATGAATATTATTATTCAGTTAAATTTAAAACTAGATAAAATTAACTGTTATTTGTTGTTGTATTAGTTGATTGTTTCAAACTTTTTTCTCTTTCTAATAATCTCTTTCTCACTTCGTCTGGGTTGTATCTTTTTCTATATATTCGTCTTACCTTCCTTACAGGATTCACGTTTCTTGGTTGTAGAATTTTCCTTTTTGAAAATGTATTATTTAAAACAACTGATGGACCTTTTGTTTCTTCTAATTTTAGATTTTTGGCTTTTCTCGTTAAATTAGAGAGTAAATCTGTTTGTTCTCTTATCATAGCATCATAAAATACTTTTCCATTTACAATTGCTTTACGTATGTTCTCTGTAGTACTGAGAACACGAGGGGGTCTAATAAACGTCGTCTCACTTACTTCCAAGCTTTTGTCATTAGAAAATATTTCCTTGGCTATATCCTCTTTACTAACTCTTTGAACAATACCACGTCTTTCAGTTGTAGGAAATTTATTTCCAAAATTAAACTCTAATAAATCTTTACCAACAGCAATGTGTTCGTTCTCCAAATCTTTTTGAGAATATTTTTCAAGAATAAGTTTTCCACCACGACGTGAAGCTAATAACCTTCCAATTGCTTCAATTTGTCTTTCCTCCTCCAAAGCTTTAATGTTGTGCATTTTATCACATTTACTTTCATCTTCTAAATTAAATACTTCTATAGACTTTGAGAAATCCTCTAATTTACCATCTATGCCTTTTATGTTTTCAAAGTCTTCAATAATTTGTACATTTTCTGGATTTTGCAGTTCTGTTTCCGTAATGTTACCTTTTGACATGTCTTTGAAAGTATCACTTACATTACTTAAATGATTAATTTCAGTTGTAGGAATTGAAGTAGTCGTTGTTGTAGTAGAAGTCGTTGTAGTGGTGGTAGTAGTTGTATTAGTTAAAGCACCAGTGTCTAAATGTAAAATATTTTCCTCGTTGTTTGTATTATTTTCTATTGGTTTATGTCTTATATTTCTGCCTTCTATATCGGTAAATTTAGGTTTGATCACATCCACTTTTTTAGATTCAGATGTTACACGTTCTGTGGATAAAACTACGGAGTCTTCGTTTTCTCGCGACTGAATTTTATCATAAGATGCATTATCTGTTTCGTTATATCTAAAATAAGTCATATTTGGAGGTGGTTCTTTATGGAGATAAGCTACTGGCCAATATCTGTAAAATTAAAAAAGTAAAAACTTTATTTGCACCAATGGTTACTCTAATTTTCCACCCAAAAACTGAAACAACGACCGAGAAAAATATTTTACCTACTTTAAATTCGTATACACACTCATAAAAAACTTAAGATATGTCCGATAACTACAATATTATAATTATATACGTAGATATGTAATATTAATACGTTGTTTTACCTAGGAACTCCAAGCGGTCCTGGGACTAAATGATTATTGTGTGAATCTAATTCTGGAACCGGTACCCAAGTTCCACTACCTGGATTGGCAGGGTTGTGTCGATACTTAATTCGAGGTCTCTCTTCTGTTGGTACACGGGTGTATCCTGAAATAACAACATTTTTAAATATAACATAAAGAAATTCTAAAACATAATCAGGGCGAAAATTCTATCAATTTTATTTTATAGTGTAGTAGTTTTTATCACTTTTTATTTTAAAACAAATTGGAGGAAAATGATAGATGATATAAATATAGAAAATATATTTTAGTAACTTGATTTGTTTGGTCAGTGCTTTTAAATTTTAATAATAATAATATTAAAACGTTACTAAATAGATAATTACCTGGCAAGGGATTTCCAAGCGAATCGTAATAAGCCTGTGGTCCATTTTTATATAGGTTATCCCAATATGTTTTATCGGCTTCGGGCAGATATGGTCCGGGCAATTTCTCTCTCTCAATAGGTATATTCGCAGGTTTGTCACGCCACTGACCCGTGGGTCGAGGAACATTAACTTCTACATAAAATTATTAATTAAAGGAAATTACTTTTTAATGTGAACAACAAAAATAATTAATCTTTAAATTTATATGTTTTACTAAAATAAATTTAGGAAAACTGTATCTTTGTTGTACGTATTACGGCATATTTGTAGGAATAATTTCTAAAGACTTTCATTAACTTCAGAATTACAATTTACCTCTACGTCCTTGCGAAGGGTGAGGCACTTTATGCTTGTAATAAGGATAATATTTTTCACTGCACGGACGCCACTGCTCGTGGGACGGACCAACGTAACACCTTAAAATTATTTTTAAATATATTTAGTTTGTTCCTATTAAAGGTTAAAAGAAAAAATATTTGTATTTGTAATCCGTTCAGCACTGAACATTGAAACACATCAGCCCGGTTTTACCAAAATTCACGCACACTAGTAGTTGTTGCTGAGTAATCTCAGTGTATAATGTAAAATTGTATTAGAATTAGATTATTTAAATTGTAACCAAAACGCTTTTTGAACGCTGGACAACGACTACGTTAGTATCGCCGAGACTCCTGGTAATCTGGTCTTCCTCTTATTGCGACCAAGACACTTTTAGCTGTCAGAACCCCTGATCAGTATTATGAGCCTGGTTGACTGGCAGGGAGAGAACCCTACACCTAAACCCTGACATCCTGTCTCTGTCCCTCTGTTACCTTAGGTCTCATGGTGCAGATATCCCGCACTTATCTAATTTATCTGTGTATATTTATAAAGTAGGTCTAGTGTGTTAGGGATAGCTAGTTACTGCTAGATATTGGAAACTTAGGATTTGTAGGGTCTAATAATCCTGCCATATTCATGTGCAGCCAGGTAGTTGATCTTTTGAAGGGAAACAGAGTTAATATTTAAATAAATATCTACTTGACTGTGCAGAATTTGTTAATAATTATGAAAGTCAATAATAGCTTCAAAGAGATAAGGACTAAATTGCAAGGTTGTTTCGAATGCGTAACAGAAAATGCGTATTTTATGCTATAAGACATGAAATTCTAATATTGTAAGGCTGATGATGAACAGCACCATCTAAAGTGAGGATAGTGAAGACTAACAAACAAACTATTTGTTAGTTATCCGTTTACAATTAAAAAAAAACAATAGTAAAAAAAGATCATTATATGTATACAAATTTAAATTACTACTACTACCGTGTAGTGGCGGTTGAGAATATCCACTACCCCATATCTTCCCGTGGGTGTCGTAAGAGGCGACAGAGGGACATAGAAAGGAGATGGGCAGCAGCATCTTCCTAATAACAACAATATCATAATAAAAAACTGCGGTTGCCAACCCGCTCGCCAAGCGTGGCAAATATCCCATGAGCAACGACACAAATAAACGGCCCCCAGTCCCCGGCGGCCCCGCTATTCCTGGCTACGGTGCCGACCATGGTAACGGCGGGGCAGGGGGTGCTAAGAATCTCCGGTCGAGGTTCGGTTGCCACCTTACGACGATTCGACCTGGCAACGTATAACGCACGCACCCTGAGGACTGACGAGAAGATACTGGAGCTGGAAGAAGAGGTAGACAAGTTGCGCTGGCATATTATTGGATTATCTGAGGTCCGAAGAGAGGGGGAGGACACGGTAATCCTCGAGTCCGGCAACTTGTTCTATCACCGGGAGGGCGACCATCTGTCCCTAATAGGTGTCGGATTTATCGTCCATAAGTCTCTCGTCAACAACGTTGTAAAGATTGGGAGTGTGTCGACGAGGGTCGCGTACCTGATACTCAGAATCACCAAACGGTATTCGCTGAAGGTCATACAGGTCTACGCACCAACCTCGGCACATCCCGATGAGGAGGTGGAGGAAATTTATGAGGATATTTCTCTAGAAATGCCTACTGCTGCTCTAGCCATGCATTCCTCCAAAACCCACTACACGGTGTTGATGGGAGACTTCAACGCAAAACTAGACACAAAAGAAGGCGGTGAGCTGAAGTTAGGGAAATTTGGAGTAGGATAACGGAACCGTAGGGGCCAGCAGTTGGCTGACTTTATGGAGAAAGAGGGACTCTTAATGATGAACTCTTTCTTCCAGAAACGGCCCACAGGAAGTGGACCTGGTCGAGCCCCGACGGTTCGACAAAAAATGAGATTGACTTCATTATGACGACCAGACGCCAACTGTTCAGTGATGTCTCAGTGATCGCAAGGGTGAAAACCGGCAGGGATCACCGAATGGTTAGAGGCACACTGAACCTGAACATTAGGTTGGAGAGGTCTCGTCTAATGAAGTCAACGCTCCGTCCCCCCTCGTGCTCTAATCCAGAATCCCGAGACTTTTCAGCTCGAGTTACGTAACCGCTTTCAGTGCCTAGAAGATTGCAATGCAGTGGACGATATTAATGACAAGCTCGTGGAAACTGTCCATGCGGTCGGAGCTAAGTTCTGCAAGACCCGCCGCAGAAGAACACAAAAACTCTCCGATCACACTCTTAATCTCATGGCTGTTAGACGGGATGAGGCTGCAATCGTCAACAGATTTGACAGCATACAGGCAACTGAACAGACAGATCTCTAAATGCATGCGGCAAGACTTACGCAACTTTAATACTGCTCGTATTAAAGAAGCGATCGAGCGGAACCAGGGCTGCAAAGTCTTTGCCAGAGATCTGTCTGCCAGAAAGAGCCAACTGTCAAAGCTGAAGACTGAGTGTGGCAGCATCGTTTCCGGGACACCTGAGATTTTGAGTGAGATTGAGAGGTTCTATGGGCAGCTGTACACATCATCGTTGGAGCCACACGCAAGTGTGAGTAACGATACAAGAGCAAGTCTTACCCGACACTATTCCGATGATATCCCGGACGTCAGTCTGAGCGAGATTAGAATGGCTCTCCAGCACCTTAAAAACGGCAGGGCCCCCAGGCCAGGATGGAATTACAACGGAGCTTCTGAAAGCGGGTGGAACACCGGTACTTGAAGTCCTTCAGAAGCTCTTCAATTCCGTCTTCCATGGTGGCGCTAGTCCGGAGGTGTGGAGCAGAAGTGCGGTGGTCTTGTTCTTTAAGAAAGGCGACAACGCTCGCTTGAAGAACTACAGACCGATTTCCCTTCTGAGCCGCGTCTACGTGCTGTTTTCGAGAGTCGTTACGAATCCTCTCGCACGCAGACTCGACGACTTCCAGCCTCCCGAACAAGCCGGCTTCCGAAAAGGCTTCAGTACCATAGACCACATACATACCCTGCGGCAGATTGTACAGAAGAGCGAAGAGTACAATCTGCCACTTTGCCTGGCGTATGTGGACTGTGAGAAAGCCTTTGATTCAGTCGAAATTTGGGCGGTGCTACAGTCCCTTCAGCGGTGCCAAGTTGACTGTCGGTATATCGAAGTGCTGAAGTGTTTGTACAGTAGGGCTACGATGGCTATCCGAGTACAGAACCAGAGTTCGAAACCTATCCAACTGCAGAGAGGTGTAAGACAGGGTGAAGTTATATCCCCGAAACTCTTCACCGCTGCGTTGGAAGACGTTTTCAAGCTACTGGACTGGAAATGATACGGTATTAACATCAATCAAAACAAAAGAGTACATCACTCACCTTCGATTTGCCGACGATATAGTCCTTATTGCAGAATCGCTGGAGGACCTTAGCACTATGTTCAATGACCTCAATGGTGTCTCCCAACGGATAGGTCTTAAGATGAACATGGACAAAACAAAGATTATGTTCAATGTCCGTGTCACACCTATGCCGGTAGTTGTGGGGAGCACTATGCTCGAAGTTGTTGACGAGTACGTTTATCTGGGACAAATAGTCCGACTAGTTAAGTCCAACTTCGACCGAGAGGTCAATCGACGGATTCAACTCGGCTGGGCATTTGGGCTGGCATTCAGCGTTCAGGAAATTACGACACATCTTCTCGTCAGGTATACCTCAATCTCTGAAAACTAAAGTGTACAACCAGTGCGTGTTGCCAGTGATGACTTACGGATCAGAGACGTGGTCCTTCACTGCTGGCCGTATGAGGACGCTCAAGGTCGCTCAGCGTGCTATGGAGAGGGCTATGCTCGGAGTTTCTCTGCGTGATAGACTCAGAAATGAGGATATCCGCAGTAAAACCAGAGTGCCCGACATAGCCCAACGGATTAGTAAGCTGAAGTGGCAATGGGCCGGCCATATAGCTCGAAGAACCGATAACCGATGGGGAAGAAAGGTTCTCGAGTGGCAGCCTCGTACCGGTAGGCGTAGTGTAGGGCGACCCCCCACTAGATGGTTGAGTGACGACCTGGTAAGACATGCACGAAGTCGATGGATGCAGGTGGCTCAGGACCGTGCTTTGTGGCATTACTTGGGGGAGGCCTATGTTCAGCAGTGGACTTGTGAAGGGCTGTAATGATAATGATGAAATTTAAATTAACATATTCATTCCTTACCATGGCTTTTGAAATCCTTCGCTGTATCCGCAGCGATGTTCTGGAGCGCAGCAGTAATCCCAAGAACCTGTAGTAATAGTAAGAAAACATTGCTATATTATATTGCTCTAAAATATTAACCTTTACTCTTAGTCGATTAAATAAAACGAATTTGCACCACCGCATAAATGAGTATATCCCTTTTTTAAAATATCCTAAAGGTCCCATGTATGGCAGTTAGATCTTGCTCTAATACTGTTTAATAATTTTAAATACACATATATCTCAGGGCAGATACAAAGCAATTTAAAGTTTATTATTTGTATTCTAGTTCACATCTTCTCGTCACATATTTTCATCACGCATTCCTTGCACTTTGGGGACTAAATTTACATTCAGTGCGCGTTTTTATTTATGGCATATAGATCTGACACGTGATCCTTCACCGTTTGCCGAATGAGGAAGCTCAAGGTCTCTTAGCGAGCTATGGACAAGTATGTGCTCAGGTTTCTCTGCGTAATAGTATTCGAAACAAAAATATATGCAGTGAAACCAGAATAACCGACACAGCCCAACGTATTAGTAAATCGGAGTGGCAATGGGCCAGCTATATAGTTCGAAAACTTTATGCCGCTGAGAAATGTAGATCGATTACACACTTGATATGATGATAACCTGGTCAGACATGCAAGAAGACCTCCAGCATGTATTAATGGTTGTAATGATGATAACTTTCGTTCACAAAATTCATATATTGAAAAAAAACAATCCCTTTCCTGCTTTAATAAAAAAAACTATACAGTAGTAGTTCCCATTCGACTCGCAGCTGCACACAGATTGCTTAGGTGAGGATAACAAATAATACTTAGTTTTACTTACACAGTTTTTCTACTCATGTTTAGGTCTGTTTATTAAATTTTTCTTTTTTTGTGAAAAATATAGACATACCTATTTCCCCGCCCTCAAGTTCACAAGCCCAGTGACCGGCGACATGATTTTGAGCACAGGTTGTTCCCCGACGACAAGGATAACCTGACACCGTATAATGGCGCCACGACACAATAGCTGAAAAAAAAGCAATTAATTGTTTAAATTCGTAAATGAATAGTAGCTAACGCTTCACAAGACTTGTTCGTCTCTTGATTTCTTGAAAATGGAAATCCTCTTTTTTATACCGAAATGTCTACTGCTTTACATGGGCCTCTCCCATAAATAAACGAGTTAAAATTTAATAGAAAATAAATGAGACAACTTCCCAACAATATCATTAATTTAATATAAGAATAACAACTGCTATGTCTATATTTGTCTAACTAAGTTCCTGTTTTTTTTTTTACAGTTTTGAGCTGTTTATCACTTTGGAAATCCATTCAACTGGTACTATACTGCACTGTGTTATTACAATACTTTACTAAATTAATTTCAGAACTAATAATTCATATATTCACGAAAAATCCATATTTTAATGTGCCCAACACAATTCAATTTTTGAAATAAATAAAAAAGGTAAAGAAATTTGTTCCAGAAAAATAATAACTTTCTAGTTTTAGTAGTCGAACTTTGTATTGCAATGCGAATGGCTTGCTACAACTCATAAACAAGTAACTTCATTCCTTTGAATCTACCTAAACCTTCTACTACATTTTATATGAATGTTATTATGTATCCTTTCTTCCTTATTATGTCAGACATATGTGTGTAAGTTTTAAAAATTTATTCTGAATAATATTTATGAAAAAGTTTAAGACTAATAATGACTATTGGTTGATATCGTAGTACAGACATTTAACAAATCCTTAAAGTAGTATTAGGAATAACGTTAGATGTATGAAGAATTATTGGCGATTTTAGTACATGTATTAAAAAACTCTACACTGTGGTAATGAAATTTACATTTACTCTAGGAATAAGATGAATGAAAATAAGTTGTTACGCCGTGTAGTGCCAGTACCTACTACCCCATATCATCCGTTGGGTGGCATAGGAGGCGATAGAGGAGGAAAAAAGTACTATGTGAACCTCTTTCTCTATTTTGTACAAAAAAGGGAGACAGATGAGCACACAGTCCATTAGATGTTAAATGGATGCAGTGGGCCACAGACACCAGCATCTATTTTAAATTAAGAATCAAAATTCACAACAACGTTGCTTAGATGAAATGCAAACAGAAAACACTATGATACTGCTTTCACTACATCACTTTTATGTTAATACATGATCCTTTACCACTGAAGTTTACTAATTTTAGCTGCTCTTATAATAGGTACAGCAGCAGAACAATGTTTTCTTCTTTTTTTGCTTTTTTTTTAAACATTACTTGTAGGCCATACAAATTCATGTTCCGTGCGGGATTCTAACCCGCGGCCTTCACTATAACTCATTGCTAAGCCACTGCGCCCCGGAGCCGCCAATTTATATGTACGATAGGTACTTGGTCCCCATACGCCCTGCTCTGGATGATGTATAATAATAATAATGTCCTCCAAACCGAATTCCGGCCACGGCGGCCTGCCTCAACGGAGGCTAGCCATCAGCGCAAGACTGGATTGTAGCGCCCAAGTGTACGCGCAAGCACAGGTGCGCTCTCTCTTCCCTCACTCTCATAATCCGATAGGACGGTAAACCGACACGACCGGAGAGAGAAAAAGCGCATAACCAACGGCTTTACGTGCTTTCCGAGGCACGGGGGTGAGACACCGCCAACTTCCTGACTCCGGGCAGCTACTGAGAATTTCTTGATAGGAAAACTCAATAATTGATTTTTTGGCCCGACCCGGGTTCCGAACCCAGGACCTCACGATCAGTAGTCGCACTACTACAACTACTAGACTAACGAGGCAATCATGATGGATGATGTACCCCATTGTTAACCATGTGTACCATATTTAAAAATACAATAACAAAATTTAATGGTTATGAAATAAATTATTCTATACTACTTGAATGTTAAACATGTGTATGAATTTTATAAGTATTTTTAATACAAGAATAGTTTATTTTTTGCCTAAAAGACAATGTAACTTACTTGGTCCATTCTCTTCCCGATCGCCCTGATAGCTTGGCCTGTTTTGACCTGGTCTGGACACTGGTTTCGGTGATGGTGGAAGATGTGGTCGATCGTATTCAATCAGCACATATCCAGGCTTATAACCAGATACGCTAGGAGAAGTTGGGACATACCCAGGTATATAATCAGATCCACTTGGCGGTGAAGGTACATATGCAGGTGGTTTAGCAATAGTAGGCTTAAAAGGAGGAGGAGGTGGATAATCTGGTATACTCGGTTCTAAGTAACTGGAGCTTGACGGTCGGTATCCAGGTTTGTAATCGAGACCACTTGGTCCTGGGTAGGCTGTGTCGGCTAAATGTCCTGGTGAATAACTTGGCTTGAAGCCAGGACCAGTTGGTGGGTTGTAACTGGGCTTATGCTCTGGTGGCTCGGGTCCAGTTGGATATCCAGGTTTAAAACCGGGTCCACTTGGACCTAAAGCTGATGGGTAAGGTAAGTCTGTAATACAGAAGAACGTTACATTAATGTTATTACAATTTATGAATTACTAGCTACTATGAATTTACTAAATTAAGTTAATCACTAAATAAGTCAATAAACTTGCAATGAATCATTGCAAGTTTATTGACTTATTTAGTCTAAAGGAATTAGTTTAAAGGAAACTAAAACAGGAGATGCGTGAAATCATTTTCTTGATAACAGTTCATAATAATAAAAAACTAGTGTTGCCAGCCTGACCTATATTATGATTGTATCACTAATGTGTCGGCTCTTTCAGGGAAGCAACACCCTCTCTCAGAATACCAGCGAGAAATAACAGCTTAATGCTGGTGTGTTTCGTATGGTAAGAGTAGAGAACCCGAGATCCCTTTTACTGGAAACGTGGTGTTACATGTTAGCCCTAAAGGTTAACAATGCATTCTGCATTTCAATTTTGATGTCTGTGAACCACAGCATCAACTTTTCATCAGGTTGATTGTTTGTTCACTTGTTTCTTTCTTATAGCAGTAGTAGTCAGCAGAGCACTTTTTGCTGTGTTCCATTTTCAAGAGTAAGAAAGCTAGTATATAATTTATTTTTTATATTTTTTTTTTTTTTTTTTTTTTTTTTTTTTTTATATTATATATATATAGGTACAGACTATGACGTACTCGTCTTAGTCTCCAGAGGTTATTTGTTTAAAGTTATTTGAATACGTCAAAGGGCTACAATAGGCATCACCATAAAGCTAATCTTTTAATAAAATATTTCTATAAATGTTATTTAATAAAGTTTTCACGCGGTGATTAACAGTTTTTTTTTGATGATTGATGATAATAAATGATATATATTCTAATTAATAAAATATTAATTATAAATATAATATACCAAAAACGTTATAGGTGTCTTTGCAGGTTTACAGTTGACTATGAATAAACGGTGAACTACACCATAAAATAAAGTAGTATTACAAACTACAAACGTGTAATTCTTAGATACGGCGCTGCTTCTCAATAGTGGAGATTTACAAAGTAAGGAAAAGTCTATCGCTTTACTCTAATGCAACAAATTGATGTGTGAATGACACATGTCATGGACGTTTCTTGTTCAATTTCGCAGATATGCATGTTTCCGTGTGATGGTGAAGTAAGAATATCTACTACCACATGGTATCATCCCGTGAGTGTCGCAACAGACGACAGAGTGAAATGAAACAGGTTATGGACAACAGCATCTTCTCCATAACAGCTAAATAAAAATATATGCCCCCATAGGCCAGTCTACGAGGAAAGCCTTTTCTCGGCAGTAAGGTCTTGGTATGCTGTAATGGTTATGTAATGTTTTCTCAAAATGTTTTCTTTTACCGCGGAACATGTGGTAAATCAGCATATCAATAATGTTCGAAGTTGATCGAAGTTAATATTTTCGTTTAATTCGGATAGTTAGTAGTTAGGTATGTTTCGTGCTCTGAGCTGCTGTTTCAATTTCAAAGTTCTGTTATAGCAATAAAAAAAATCAAAATAATATCAAATACCTGGTGGGTCAACCAGATCTGTACCACTTGGTCCTGAAACTGGATATTCTAACACTGATGGTGGAAGCGGGCGAGGCAATTCGTAACTTGGAGCGCTGAAAATTATTATATCTATAAATATATTGCAGCAAGATATTTGAGTTCGACTATATATCGATATACTACTGTTACATAATGTCGACATTCAAATGAATAATTCAAGATGTAACGGGAATATAAGAACATCTTATCCAAATGTCGACTTTACCAACACACAGTAAAAGTTTTTTGACAGCCCCGTGGCGCAGTGACTTAGCAATGAGTAGGTACGCTGGGGGCCGCGGGTTCGAATCCCGTACGGAAGAAGTATTTGTATCACCTACAAATAATTATTACAGGCCTGGATGTTTGTCCCTGTGAATTTTATGTATGTTAACTGCCTCCACATTACAGCAGAAAATTCTCGCTTGGGTTAACGTTTAAAAATGATAAAATAAAAATATAAGTAAACTTACTATATAATAATATGTCGGGCAAAAAGTTTCTTCGCATTTTGTTTGCATTAAATTGAAGAAAAATCTCTTTGGTTTGTACTCTTTGTATCTGGCTGGTTTTAATATCAATACAAATAGGACAATAAGAAAAATAAAAATAAAATGTAAAAAACGCTTTCCCGCTATCTTTCATGATGGCAACAAGTCATCAAACAAAATGGCGCACACACACACACACACACTATATATATATATATATATATATATATATATATATATATATATATATATATATATATATATATATATATATATAAAATATCATAATTGAATGTTATTATACTTTAAAAAAAACCTTAAATTTGTATATAAAATACGAAGAAAGTTTTCCCCGACCTAATATATACTTCCCACTGCTGGGCACAGACATCCACTTCTTTCTGAAAGGGTTATGGAGCAATTAGTTCATTGCGTTGCTGCTCCAATGTGTATTGATTGACTTCACATATTCCCGAAATAATTTATTCCTCAAGTTTTCAGTCAAGACAAGTTTTCTTACGATGTTTTTCTTCACCGCTGAGCTAATGTTTAATTAGCACTTGAATTAAAATTACAATATATTAGTGTCGGTGGGGAACAGTTCGAGTTTCTTGCCTACCGTGAAATTCACATTTTTCAACCTTGTTGTGGCGGCTTAAGTACATTCACTAGCCCATATCGTCCCGTAAGTATCTTAAGAGGAGACATAGAGAAACCGAAAGATGAGACGAACAGAAGCATATTCCGATAAGAGTTAATGTTAAATCCTATATACGTACCACGATTTCACTGCTGCTATATTCAACAGTGAAAATTAATAGGCTGTTGGAAGCTGAATTCAATAGTGATCGCTTAGCTTCTGCGCTTTTACGGTCTCCTTATGCTACGAAATGTCTGTTAGACCTACATGAACACCTAATCGCACTGCACCCTACTTTATAATGAGTCAGGCTTTCGTGACTAACTGAAATCTGTGCAATCTCGGAAGCCGGAAAGGTAAGTCTTACGTCCGGACTTCGACTGAGAATTTCGACAACATACCCTGTAGCGGAGCCGTGGTAGCTCAGATGGTTAGCGCTCGCTGTAAATTTCACAGTACGCGAGCAAACCGAGTTCGATCCCCGCCGGCACCAATGAAATTGTTAATTGCAATTTTAAGTGCTGATTTACCACGTGCTCGGCGGTGAAAGAAAACATCGTGAGGAAACCTGCACGTCAGAGAAATAAGAAAAAAATATTTCGAAGACATGTGAAGTTCGCCAACACGCATTGGGGCAGCGCGGTGGACACTTCCTTGCCCTAAAACCCTCTCAGAAATGAAGGGAGGCCTGTGCTCAGCAGTGGGACGTATATAGGCTGTAACTTTACTTTTACTTTACCCTGTAGCAGCGACTCGGGATCTAAAACTTATTGGTTGGAAACTATGGACGTTAAACTACGCAAATGTTGTTATACACAAAACTTTAGCTTATGCTTAGTTGGTCTAGTGATTGAAAATCTGATTGCTGTTTATAACGTCCGGGGTTCGAATCCCCAGTCGGCTAAAATCAGTATTAATATTTTTTATTAAAGAATTATTGGGGTCAAAGGTTGACGGTGTTTCATCCCCGTGCTTCGGAAAGCACATAAAGCTATTGGACTTGCGCTTGTCGTATCGAATTGCCATCCCATCGGGCTATGAGAGTTAGGAAACAGAGAGTGCACTTAGGTTTGCGCTCACACTCGTAAGCTATAATCCTATCCTGCATAGATAACTCGTCTTCGTTGAAACTGGCTGCTGTGAACGAATTTCTGTAGGACATTACTTAAAACTTACTCATAGTGTTGCTTGCGGTTCACTTTCCTCCAGCACTGTCCATTAAACAAATCGAAAGCAAACAACCAATCGTCAGTAGATTGCTCGTAGTCTACTCCACGTTGTAAATCGAATAGACGGATCTCAGAGAGCAAGCAATTGTCTGCTTCGGGGTGGGCATGATTACTAAAAAAAAATTGAAATTTGTACATCATTGAATCCTGATCCTAATATTGATAAAATAACATTAAGTGATGCTCTTGACTTCAACTGTTTGTATTAATTAATTTCCCGCAGTTTTATTGGTTTGCTCGTCGTCGTTTTGATAGCTATTTATGTGAGCTCATTAAGGTTAGTCTTGATATTTGAGGGATCGCATTTGAAATTATTTCATTTAAAGTTAAAAATTAAACTTTGATTCAAACGTAAAAGCAGACGTTAATGCACTAAAAAGAATAAACAAATTTTCACGTGATAGCTTCGGAGTCAGTGCTAAGTTAGTGCTTAGAAGAGTGTATAAAAGAATTAAAACCCCGAATTCAGAAGTTTATAAGTCAGTCAAGTTGGTCGGGTAAGTAAGGTGGACTTTTGCATTTTGTTAAAAGTTTACTTATTTGAAAGTTTTAAGTGGACTAAGGATTATCACAAGCTCAATGTAACAACTAATATGTCATTAAATAGTCACATTAAAAACTTCATCCCCTATTTTTTCACCCTCAGAGATAGAATTTTTTCTCAAAATTTATATAACACGATGTATACTACATTGATTTCTATCAATACAACTTATTCAATAAAAAATATTAAAATCGATTCACAATATTAAAGATGATATCGCGTAATTTACATACAAAAAACATATATTGCAATTGATAACCTTTTTTTGAAGTCTGCTAAAAAGCAGATGTCCAATGAATTCTATTATACAAATTAACATTACTTTGATATTTAGAATAAACTAAAAAGTTTTTAAAAATGTATTTCTTTCAATCTTTCACAAGTCCCATAAATGATGATGGTCATAATGGTTTTCAATATAACTATATTGTTTCTTTAAAATATGAAATTTTTACTATGTACAATGTTTTATATGTTAATTTTATATTTTTCATGTTTATCATTTTACCCAAATAATAAGCCACAAACTATTTTTATTCGTTGGCTGTATACTTACTTGAATGAAAAACTGAGACATCTGAAAGGCGCATCCGTACAAGCACGTCCGCATTCCTGTTCATCTTTCACTCTCGCTTGACCTCGCACTGCAGAACCTTTCAGCTTAGCGGCCATATCGTATTGCAAGTAGCATTCTGACAATAATTAATTAATTATGCTCTTATAATTGACTTAAATTTTGTACGAATACCCAATACCCCATATTGTCCAGTGTGACGTAAGACGCGACAGAGGGAAACAAATCAGGAGGTCGGCATAAGCGGCTTTCTAATAAAAATTAGTAAATACTGCGATGCGATAATGCCAAATATTTAGCAAGCTACCAGAGAATACGAAACTATTAAATATTAACAAATTCGAAATAACTTTAACTCAGTGGCTCTTCCCCCGATGTTTTATTCTATAAAAGATTTTCTAAAATATAAAATAGATTAGGTACTCTATGCATATTGATAAAATTAGGTAAAATATTTTTTTTAAATCTATGAATTAATGAATAACTTCTTTGCTTTGAAGATGTTACAATAGAGATGGACTAATAAAATGGGTCTCCGGTCAGTAGCATCAAGCTGCTATACTCTGTTACTATTCTGTGAGAACGTGATCCTACCCCGGTCGAGCGGCTCCATTTGTGCTACAATCATAATATAGCTGCAGCGTGGCTTTGATGGATTTTGTGGACTTGACTGTAAATATTGTTTCAAGAAATCTCTATCTAAGCTGGCAAGGACATTGTTATTTTTTATCTTTATCAGCTCGTAAAAGTACACTGACTCTTGAGTTATTTAGCATGTTTTTGCCACTGTTCTAGGATTACTATGTTCCTGAGATTTTCCACAGTCGGCTCTTACGACATCCACCGAATGAAAGTGAAATTTGGTGATGAATACTCTTAAAGCCGCCATGACTTAAAGAGCATTCGACAGATGACAAATATATTACCTGCTTCACGATGCTGCGCATCATCATATAGCGCAGGTTCACAACCGCGGCCATAGTTTCCCCGTGCGTAAAGTTCATGACCAATGGTTGAGCGAAGTCCTCGTCCAACTTCCAGCGAAGTTGGCGGAGATGATGTGAGTATGCAGTTTTCCAAGTCGTCGCCTATGGTTGGTGAGTCAAACCTGGGAATAATTTATGAATAATTGTTTTATTTAAAATCTCCCTGTTTTATTGTTATGATACGTATCCTTATCTTGATGAGCTCTTAAAATAATTTTTAGACAATGTTATGGCTGACATTATTTTAAGTATTTATATTCACATATACTTTCCGATGTACAATCAAATGTTATTCGTTGTTCCATTCAGAAAAATATACATTTAATTATTAATGATATAATGCTGCAGTCAAGGTTTTCTCCCCAAGGATTAATTCTTTAACACTTACTGATACCGTAGCGATGAACTGGGTCTGGGCGTTGGTCCATTGATAATATATTTAAATAAAAATCACAGTGTAAGAGGTGAATGGAATAGAAGCCTAGTGTACTGATATTTTACATTTTTTTATTTTACATTAACATCATATTATGAAATTAGTATATCAATAAATACTATAAATTTTAAATAAACTTGCGGTATTAAAAAATTACAACAAAATTTTAAATACCAGTGCCATAGGCTTCCATTCCGTTCACCTGTGATATCCTATTTTTTCAAGACGATAAAAAATATCCAATATATATATATATATATAGACATATTTTTTTTAAAGAAATCTCACTGACTGACTGACTCATTGTGAGATCTCTAAAACTATACACCCGATTGACATGAAATTTAGTACAATTATTCAATTACACATTTCGCAATATAGACGCTCACTAAGAACGGAATTTACGATAATGCCATCCAAAAAAAAAATCTTGGCATCATTTACATCTAGGTTCCGCAATAAAATATTATCTTGCACCCAGCAAAGCGAACTGGTATCAGCTAGTATTATACGTATTAAAAAATTGAAAAAAGAAAATCCAAAAAATCCCTTTCAGGAACCCAGAGAGGGAGGGCTAATAAGACGTTCCATCGTAATCCTCAGGGATGACAACGTGTTTCTATTTTGATTCTTAGTAGAGAAGAGTGTTTATCATCACCGGGACTGTATGCTTGTTTGTCACCCTTACTTCAATATAAATACAGGTAGTATTATAGTTAGTTTTATCTTATTGATATACTAACATATCTTAACAAATGTAGCCTGGTTTCCGCGTCACCTGTAATTTCCTGTCTATTTGTAACTGTTTTAGAGAATAGCATACAAATGTTATAATACCTGAAACTAAATCCGCGGCAAAAGAAAGCATGCGCTCGTATGCACTCGGCTTCGCAGGCGCCGAGGCCTGTAACAGTGAGCGAGGCGCGCGCCGCACTGCCTTCCACCGCCGCGTCAGAGCGCACGTGCCAGAAGCACTCTATGGATATAATAATTTTTTATAATTATTAAATAAAAATGGATATTTGTGAATCTCTTTGAGATTAAATAGATTTCGACATCGTTTCACCGATCATCATGAAAGTTGGCAGAGACGAGTGTATGTATTTTTCATGGAGAAAGTTTTTATGGCATGCACTTTGTTGTAATCCACCACTAGATGGCGGTGTAGTACACCATCTTCTATGCCGTTCAACCGATCACGATGAAAATTTATATACACAGGCAGTACAACGTCTGTCAGGTTTTTCTAGTCAATAATAATCTTTGGTGCGTCTGTGCGTCTCGGTCTGTCTTTAGTGATTGTGTGACTTCTGAACTACTTGGTCGTTTAAAATGATATTAAACACAACATATTGTTTGTTTTGTCAACCCATAGGTATATAGCTATGCCAGGATCCGATAAACAGCGCTGTAGTCAAGCTAATAACAAATTCGATATATTACATTGATAAGATATATTTGTTTAGTGCCAGAAAAAAAAAACAAAAACTGGACCTGATAGGTGAGTCTATGGTGAATTTTAAATTCACACTATAAAAAGTCAGGAGTGCATTTGAAGCAAAACTCATTAACATCTACTGAAAAGGGCAGAATCACATCTGCCAAGTTATCTATTTTGGTATAAAATATTTTGGATAATATTCACCTCTAACCAGACGTAACATCCAGCAGGCTTAGCAATGTTTGTTGAATATTGATTTTTCACAGTCGTTAACTCTATTAGAAAACTATAAAAATAGGAATGTGGTAATATTTTTTGTGATGATCACGCTAACTCTGCAGATCGGTGTCGAGATGCTACGTCAGATGTTTGAAACGTCTATTACTGCTATCGTCACTGCGCCTGTTCTTTGATTCATTTCATTGACGTGATTAAAACAAATCAACTCTACAATAGGAGAGCCGTATGTCTAGCAGTTTTACTTTTAAAAAATTAGTTATTTACAAACAAATAGTACTTGAGCTACATTTGACTTAATTAACTCTAGTCGTAAGTATTTAATAAATATAGATATAGACATGAAGAGCATAGTTAACAGCAAAATTTGTATTATCATACTAAAACAGTTTACATTCTTGAAAGAGACATGCAGTTGTATTAAAGGATAATTAATAAAGAATTATAAGATATTTAGTCATAAGTGCTGCTTTACACTACTTACTTGATAGCGAAGTTAAAAGTCGTAAATAGGCAAGGCAATTTAATAACAAATAGAGACAAATGATTTTTTAGTTCTTGACAACTCTCAGAACACCTATACTGCTTATAAGTTAAGCTGCAGAGAATATAAATTAGTTGTTTTTTTTTTTTTGTTATTTAATAAACTCATCAATAATAATCTCATATCTTACCACTTTCAATCCAAGGCTTTCTGCTAATTGTGGAACAACCCTGGTCCTGAGGCATGGCGTACACATCAGAGTCACTATCCGCTGACATGTCTAATCCGCGGTATGGTCGCTCGCTTAGGAAGCAGTTGTCTGATCCACCTGAACTTGAATACCTTAAATATCATAATTTTACTGTTATTAAGAGCCGTTAACATGAAAAAATTTTTAAAGAAGGACGTTTTTCCTATTTATAAAAGTACATTCTTAATCATGCCGTACCATTTCACTGTTGATTTATTAGTTACCAACTCTTTAATGAACAAATTGGATTAAAAATACGTGTGGCACTCGGTGACTGCCGCGCTAAAGCTATTGCATACCATTTTTTATCAACTTATGTAATTATAATTATTTATTTATTTTATTTATGCAGTTAAGTCTTTGATATTAAATCGAGTTACACTTTTTGAGCGTGTTGACCGATAAGAAAACAATTTTTTTTCTCTTATTGAATAAATGAGAAGTTAATATTGTTTAAAATATTTTTAATATCTTACAATACATGTAGGTTGTTCAGGAATTTTTGTCATTGAGTGAGCAGCTAGTGTACACGCATACGTCTAGTCGCACGCACACAAACACCGTGCCGAAGTCTGCCGAGTGCCGAAGTCTGCCGAACTGAAACGACGTTAGACGATGCACGGCTTTCAACGCCACACCTCCGTGCCCGTCGGAGTGGGGAGCGTGAGGTTTTTTTCGTTACGGAATTTCTGGATTCGGTCCCCGCGCTCAAGGCCCGCGATAGAAGCTATGCAATAGCTTAAAATGAATAAATGAATAAACAAAGTTACCTATAGCTGTAGGATACGCATTTAAACTCTTTTTCTCCGAAGCAAGCCGCTTCGCAGTCGACTACATTGCGTGCAAACAGAGATCGTCTTATTGCTCCAGACCCCAATGCCATCCCGGGACGTCGCCGTGACGAACAATCTGTTAATCAAAAACACTTTATTAGTTAACTATATATTTTTATTAGAAAAAATTGTTACATAATCAAATGCTTGAACTTGTAAATAAATGATGTCTCTATGATTATATTGTTTTTGGTTATTTGTTTTTCTTTACTAGCCGGTTTAATAGTCAACACAGAACTTTTCCCAAATTTATACAATACCTTTAACAGAAGTAAGAGTGAAAAAAGCACATTGACATCTATCTTCTAATATGTTTGTAATTAATGCAGATACGTTGTTTCACCAGAGGACTAATATGCAATGCTTGTCACCATTAAAAAAAGGTTTGCGTATCTCGTCAGTCACCATATGAAACATAGCAGTATTTTTTTCCTTTCATACAGGCGCTATTACGATACGTATGACATGAAATAGTACGATGGATACTCTAAAGTCGTCACCAAATGGTATATTCGGTTACTAGACGTACATCATTTGTGTAATTATTGTAATGAATTAATAAACTTTAAATAAAAACGCATTCATAGATAAAAAAATTACAACCACATATTGACAATGGAATAGGCCTTAATTAGATTTACATTACTTAATTTTTCTTTTAAATTAAAACTACCAACTAAATTAACGATGCTCGTAAAACAACAATAATAAGTCGATTGCGCTACGCGTCGTTTTAGTTTATAATAACAGGTCACTTCATTCGGATTGGTTTTTTAAATATAACATTACGTTTTATATATTTTATTAATAAAAAAAGATAACTAAATAGGCGTGGTAGCTCAGGGCCTAAGCACTCGCTGTAAAATTCACAGTATGCGAGCAACACGAGTTCGATCCCCGCTGGCGCCGATGAAATTGTTATTGCAATTTTAAGAGCTGAGTTACCACGTGCTCGGCGGTCAAGGAAAACATTGTTAGGAAACCTGCATGTCTGAGAAATAAGAAAAAAAATATTCCGAAGACGTGAATTTCGCCAACACGCATTAGGGCTACGCAGCGGACATTTCCTTGCCCTAAAACCTTCTTACAAATGAAAGGAGGCATGTGCATTATGCCAGCAATGGGACTTATATAGGCTGTAACTTTAACTTTTTTTACTAAATAATACGTTGTTTACTAAGTAATACGTTGTTCTACCGTTTCCGGTAGGTGATTTTTTTTATAGGATAGGGTTAAAAACGAGCACACAGTCCACCTGATGGTAAGAGGTTGCTGTGACCCATAGACATCTACATCTTTCCTCGATTACAAATCAAAATGCAGATGCGTTGTTACCTGTGAGGACTAAGATAGAATGCCTAGTTTCCAATAAAAAGGGTCTCCGGTTCTCACTCACCATATGAAACACAGCAGCATTGAGTTACTATTTGACGCTGGTATTCTGTGAGAGCGTGGTCCTTCCCCGGTCGAGCCAACCCGTTCGTGCTACAACTATACTACTAATAAAACTGCAGCATGGCTCTACCACGTATATGATGTGATGTAAAGAATTTCACTTCGAATTCTCTCCGGACAATTTACAGTGTATATATTATGTAAGTACATTAATATCTCGATTTCATATTTGCGCTGGCAAACACGGCTACTGAGTTCAGATTTTGTGATTTTCTTTTATAACAGTGAACCGACAAAATATATTGTTACGCGTAGTGACGATAGGAGTGAGGGAGGGGAGCATTGACTGTGTTATGAGGTTGGAAGGGGGAATTGTGGTTTTAAGTTTTTTGTTTTTAAGTATTTATGGATTGGCAATTTTATTGTAGAACCCTAAGCTCGTAACAATATCATAAGTCTTTTTTTTCTTCATAAATAGGAAGATTGTTAATAATATGACTGCACACATATTGCATCCTAGCGTAGATACAAACTATAATTTCAACAAAACAAATATATCTCGTGATATGACCTTAATCGGTGAAGACTTCAGAAGTTACATAATTACTGACGCACCAACGATTTGGAATAAAAAAAATTATTTCACCTTTTATGGACGTTTCGTCTATTCGATCTTCAGACTTATAATATAAATGAGGAGGCTTGCTGTGTTTGTAATGTCCTGATTCCTCATAATCCAATCCATTCCAAGAGCTATTCCATCTTCCCCTCTTCCAAGCACCGTAACCGTAACCATGGCCGTCCTCTGATTCACTAGATTTACCCAAGCTGTGGTAGTTAAAATCTGTGTTCAGTCCATGAGATTTAACACCATAGTAGTTTGCACGCAGGACTTCGTCAGCTATCTGCCAGTGATTGATGGATTTACGGTAGTTGGTTTTATCTTTGTAATAATTATCACCTCCATATGATCCGCCATACTGACTCAAGGGCTCAGGACTATCGTTGCTACGGCTTATCCCTGTAAATATAAAATGTTAACAACTTCAAATTATTTCCTAATGTATTAAAAGTAGAATTCTTTTCTGATCAAATTCATGCTTTATTTAAAAAATTCGATTAGTTGAAACCGTCGAGTGTATTCAAATCATACAAAAATATCTAACAAGAAACAAGTTAGTTATTTATTTATTTATAGTAGAAAAGGGGCCAAACGAGCACGCGGCTCACCTGATGGTAAGTGACTTCCGCCGCCCATAAACAACTGCAACGCCAGTGGAATTGCAGGTGCATTGCCGGCCTTTAAGAAATGAGTAAGTTCTTTTCTTGAAAGTCCCTAGTCGAGTCGTATCGGTCCGTTCGTAGTACCAAGAAAGTAATTAATTAAAATCCTACGTAATGCCGTAATCTCAACAGTGGGACCTCTGAACATGTGTTAAACAACGTGTAATTACGATAGATAAATTTTAAAAAAAAAACAACTTACCTATTTGGTATGGTACAAAAACTTGATTGTTGTATTTCCTACTAGAATTTATTAATGTTCTCCTTTCATTATTGTATCTTTCATAGTCACTTTTAGAACTTTTGTCATACCAATCTATTCTATCTTTCCATCGATCCACAGTCTCTAGAGGTCTCTTAGAGGATAAAAAACCCGAATGTAATAACCCGGGACCTCTGAGAGTTTCTGGACAATTAGGTTCCAAGCTGTTTCTGTCAAGTTCATAAAAATCGTAATCTTTATCTTCAACAAAGTCACGTCGAAGATCGAAAGCTTCTATGGGTTTAGTCATTAGTTCACAGAGGCCTTTGCCGCGGAATGTTGGATCCAGTCTAGAAAAAAATTAAAACAATTTAACAATTTAAGTACCCTCATTTGCACAAAATGATTATCATTTTATCTAAATCTAAAAAAAATCTAGATATAAAAATACGATATACGATACGATATAAAAAAGGGTTTGAACATGTTACTGGCCGGTTGTAAAAGTTATGTGGTGTTTAAAAAAATACGTTCCAAATTTAATTTTTTCCTGAGGCTGGCTTTTAAATTAAACATCTTCTCATTATATTTTGTAGTGCGAACTCCCTAAAGTTAATACCGACTCTAAATAAATGATGATTTCGTCGTTTTTTCATGTATAATATGTATAGTACCCGGTTGACCGAGCTTTGCTCAGTATTTTTCGCTCGGTTTTTTTTTAATTCGTGTGTTTTGGAAATTATATTTAGATACAAATTACATACTGATAAATACGAATAATATTTTTGATCGTAGCGACATAATAGAAAAAACTGAACTGGTTATTTGAATAAAAAATCATGAGTGCAATTAGTTTAATTTAAAGTTTCGTGTTTTAAAAAATCATTGAGCTATTATGTACTACGTACTAGAGGAGACACTGCATTCAGCTACTCTGTTCCACTCAACTGCGGTGCATGCACTGCACTTTAATCAGTCACTCGCTAGGCGCTTGTAGAGTTGTCACGTGTTGTGTTCATTTAAAAAAAATCTCTTGATAAAAATATGCCGTCTTGTGTACTTAGATATTGCACAAATAATTCAAGAAATGTCAGTAAAAACCAAGGAATTACTTTTCATCGGTTAATAAGATACTTATTCAATAAAAAAGTATTATAAATTAATAATAAAGCAAATTATTCCTAAGATGCCATCTCGTATCATTGAATATAGATTATGAAATTAATATGTTCAGATGCGACATTTCTGTGGGTACTTAAGTTTAGGATGAATATATTATTATACTACACATTTTTTTGTAGAAACGTATAAGTTATTATAATTAAGCTAAATTTTTCATGTTTAAATCTACTTATTATTCTTTTATTTTATTTTTAGGTTTCCACTTCAAAGTCAAAGTGGAATAAATTCGTCCATTTTTAAGTCTCGCGTGCCCAGCATTTATGAACGATTATTTACAACATTTATGATTCTAATTTAAATAAATATATTTGTAATTTAAATTTTATGTTACTAAGTTTTGTTAAACATACATTTAGTACGTTTTTTTTATATTTGACATAGATACCTTTTAAAATATTCAGATAACAATATCATTAAAATGTAATTCTGACATAATATTATGTAATATTATATTAAATTAGCACATATACAAAATAAAAAAACAACTTAAAAAATTGTACTCGATATAATTAACAATACAATATAAATAAACAATTATTACATACTGACCATTCTACTTACGTATAATCTATAATAACAAAAACTGACCGCGCAAGCGCAATGCGCGTTTATACCAACTGCGCATGCGCGACTCTACTATTACCGCGCATGCGCGAAGACATAGAGTAGCGCACAATTTTTGTTTGGAATAGCTTCTCTAGTACGTAGTACATTATAACTCAATGTAAAAAATACTAAAAAATGGGCTCGAAAAAATAGATTTTCTCAAAAAAGAAAGGAACTTGAAAAAAAAATTAAAAAACGTCGATCGGTCTGAGCTCGAACCATGGTATTACGAGTTTGTGACCGCCAATATACTAATTAAGCTATTTGTAATCTTTAATAAACTGTCAAAATTTACCTTCTTATTCTAACGATATTGTAGCAGTTTTTCATTGCCTAAAAACACGGACAAAAATACATTTTCTAAAAATAAATCCTAGCTAGATCGATTTATTGACCCCGAAACTCCCTGCATACAAAATTTTATGAAAATCGTTGGAGCCGTTTCCGAGATTCCGATTATATATATATACAAGAATTGCTCGTTTAAAGGTATAGGATTAGTCCTCTCTCTTGACTGCCTAGCTCGTCGTTTGGATGCGTCTCGACTGCAATAGATCGTTAAAAATCCGCTCTTGGATTTGCAACTTTCTGGCAGCCCTGACATCATCATAAACGTCACGCTTGGCAGGAGTATTACCACCCATTTCGCACCTTTGACGCTGCTGCCTACTATCACTGGTCTGATTAATTTACCTCTAGTGTAAAGCCGTGGTAGCTCAGTGGTTAACGCTCGCTGTAAATATAACAGAACACGAGTAACCCGGGTTCGATCCCCGCCGGCACCAATGAAATTGTTAATTGCAATTTTAAGTGCTGATTTACCACGTGCTCGGCGGTGAAGGAAAACATCGTGAGGAAACCTGCATGTCTGAGGAATAAGAAAAAAAAATATTTCGAAGACATGTGAAGTTCGTCAACACGCATTTGGGCAGCGCGGCGGACACTTCCTTGCCCTAAACCCTCTCAGAAATGAGGGGAGGCCTGAGCCCAGCAGTGGGACGTATATAGGCTGTAACTTTACTTTACTTTACTTTTTAGTGTAAATGTACTTATTTCACTATCTGTCGAATGCTATAACATTATCCAAAATTTAAATATTTACCTCATTTAAAAAAAAAACATATTATTTGAAATCATCGTTATTTCATTCTCATAGATAGGATGACTGGGTGCTAGAACTCCCATAATTATTAAAATCAAATCCAAACCCAAGCATCCTTGCTTTTATTGAGTTTTAATTTCAAGATATTGCAAGACTTCAAGATAGCTAACAATAAACCCGTAAATATTCTTTTTTCTTAAAGATTCTTTATTCTGCAAAGATGGGATAAAAAAATTAATTTCAATAATTGAAGGAACCCGCGCTAACTTTGATTTCAGTCATGATAGCCGTGGGCTACACGCACTAACTATGATGATGCCATGAAATTGAAAATTGAAAATAAGTGAACAGCAAACGTGATAAATTTCATAAAATTAGTTCTATTTAACAAAAGTATTGTATTTATAAAGCCTTGAGTGCGACCCAAAAACCATCAATTACTCATATTTAGGCCACTGCTACGCTGTACGCAAAGATTTATCTCATCTCTATGCAAATTTTTGTATGCATGTAAATAACTGCCTTTTTAACAGAGATGGACTTTACGTTGTAAAAAAGTAATTTTTATTTAACGTTTTTAAGTTTAGTAAAACGCAAAGTTTTATTATTTAAAGTTAGAAGTAAAGTTGCAGTCATTATACGTCCCAAGGGTGGGCACAGGCCTCCTTTCGTTTCTTAGAGGGTTAAAGAACGATTACTCCACCAAGCTGCTTCAGTGTGCGCTGAAGGACTTCACATACTAGTTCATAAAAATATTTCATTCTACAGACGTTCAGGATTCCTTAAAATGTTTCCTTTCACCGCTTCGATAACGTGTAAAATCTGCATTTAAATTGTTTATGTAATTGTTCGTAAAAATAGAAAAATTCATTGGTCGTCACCAGTTTAAGATTGAAAACCAGGTTTCTCGTGCACTGTGAAATTTAACTACAGCTTCATATTATTTATTGTTCTTTAATAGTCTTAAAAAATATTATAAAAACAATAGCGTCCAACATTATAGTCGTTACCTCTGATTAAGATTAAGATTTTTTGGGGCAGAGTCCGTCTTCGCTTTATTGCGTATTAGTGGACTACTATTATATCCTCGAAATATTTCTTGATATTTTCTCATACGCATGTATGAGTCTAGTTTACGAGTATAGGTAGTATTGGTAACAGAAATATTGGTAACTTGGCACTTAAAATTACAATTAACAATTTCATTTGTACCAGAGTGGATCGAACTCAGATACTCTAAATCATAATAAATTAATATTGTAATAGACAAAAAACAACATACTAATTTAACAAGTTCAAATGATTATTGAATTGTAATAAAAAGTGTGTTATAATTCAATCATACATAAAAAACAGTTGATGACTGACTTATTGCCTAAGTTAACTTTTATTGAAAATATATACATGAAATTGTAGTTACAACCCTACAATTTTCGAAATAGTTCGTTATTGGTCTCTCGGAAAAAAATGGGTTGATAATTAATAAAATCATGCGTTATTTTGCGGAAATCCATTACATCAAAGATTTTTTTTTATATAAGAGGGGGCAAACGAGCATGCGGCTCACCTGATGTTAATTGACTACCGCCGCCCATGATCAACCGCAACACCAGGGGAATTGCAAGTGCGTTGCCGGCCCTTTAGAAAGGAGTAAGCTCTTTTCTTGAAGGTCCCCAGGTCGCCAGGTCGTTGAAGATAGGAGTGAGTGAGTGTTGGGATTATTGGCGACGGAAACAGTGCACGACAAATGAGGGAGGGTGGGACGTTCTGGTCAAAGAAGGTAAGACACATCATTTTTGTATTTTTATTTTTTACGTGGACCTTAGCTAGTTAAATGTTAACTCATATTTGAGAAGGTGTGCTCAAGTGGAAAGTTGCAAGATGTCTGGTAAACTGCCATTCACTCTAGAAAGGACCCTTTCTCCCTACCATGTGATGTACTCGTAGATTTTTAAGGGCTGATGAAAAGGAAGAAGTAATATGTTGCAAAAAAGTTTTTTTTTCATCCCAATCCGTCCGTCCCTACGAGCAACAAATGCAAGGTGACGCGGCAGGTACGTACGACAACAATGCAGATGTTTAGTACTGATTACCATTGTGCCGAGGTCGCCGATCACAGTACATCTATTTTGGTTGCTTATATAAAATCACGCTTTTTATAGCTAAGTTATAAGATTCTAATAATTTTTTAAGTTAAAGTTCGGAGGTAAAGATGGTTTTTATTCCCTTCACACGTAAACAAATAACATGTAATAAGTTGTACGATGATATCCTTTCGAATCATCATCACCATCACAACTCATCACCAGTACGTTATTGATCATAGGCAGGAAAGCAGGAGCATGCGTCACAGGAAAGCATGAGTCACATCTGCACCGCAAATAGATGCAGGTGACTAGGAGCGGACTTTGTACGGAAGCAGAACTGTTATAGAGTTGTTCCGTATTAATAAGGAAAATAATAATAATTTAGAAATGTATAAAACATTATATTTTTATCATCGCTTAAGGATATTATTAACTATTGTCTAAAGAATATAAAAAATATATTTTACATTTTTCTTAATGAAAAATATTTTTAACGAGTCAAAGGCTTCGGCTTTTTTCAAAATCTTTAGAAATTCACAACTCCGATAATATTAACTTTATCTTAAAATGTTAAGGGACTTTTTTATTCGTATATCATCAAAGAATATAAAAAATATCTTTTATATTATATTATATTTCTCTATAAATTTTTATTAAGCCAAAAGTATCTGAATTTGGAATTCTTAAAATAATTAAAAATTCATAACTCCGAATACTTTACGGTAGGGACCTTTTTTATTCATATTTCACCAAAGAATATAAAAAGAATATTTTTCAAATTTTATTCCTTTTCTTTAAATATTATTTTTATGGGTCAAAGTATCCTTTGGATTTTCACTTTTAAAAATTTCAACTTTTAAAAATTCAAAAAACTGCAAAAATTGATTGTATCGTAAAAATACATGGAAACTTTTTAATTTTTATTTCATCAAAGAATATAAAAAAAAATATTTTTAAATTTTGTTACTTTATATATTTTTAATGAGTCGAAAGTATGCAAATTTCAGATTTTCAAACTTTTGAAAATTCATAATTCCGAAAATATTAACCTTATGGTAAAAACATAGGACATTTTTATTTTTATTTCATCAAAAAATATAAAAATATTTGTCCCATTTGAAAATAAGACAACACGAAAATAACAAGACACCGTTTAAATAATATGGCACAGAGTTACCCCATGGCTACATGCATTGAAGAGTATATCATTTCAGTCAGACAATTTGAAGAGGATAGCATAAAAAATAATGGTATAGCTTTCGGTAATCATGCGCCGATTTCTCCTGGGATATTTTTACAATAATAATAATAATACGTGGTAGAGCCATGCTGCAGTTATATTAGTAGTATAGTTGTAGCACGAATGGGTCGGCTCGACCGGGGAAGGACCACGCTCTCACAGAATACCAGCGTGAAATAGTAGCTTAATGCTGCTGTATTTCGTATGGTGAGTGTAGAGAACCGGAGACCCTTTTTACTGGAAACGAGGCATTCCATCTCAGTCCTCACGGGTGACAACGCATCTGCATTTTGATTTTTAATGGAGGATGGATGTAGATGTCTATGGGCCGCAGCAACCACTTACCATCAGGTGGACTGTGTGCTCGTTTGTCACCCTATTCTATAAAAAAAAAAAAAATAATTTATACTACCACGTCAATTTATTTATGTAATTCCAACCTTAATGAACATGTAGTATTTAGATTTCCGAACTATAAGCTCTTCTTTCCATCACGTCTACGTAACATGCGTATATTTCGCCATTATTCTTATAGAACGACTAGGTGTTTCTATCCTGCGATAACAAGATTTTAACTAGCCGAAACATTGGAACGCTGATTCGGATATTTTAAAAATTAGATGCTATTATTTCTCTGTCCTTTTTCAAACTTATTAGCAATCGCTTTACGAAAACCTGTTGTATTAAAACATGTTTCGAAAGTATGTCACTTACAAAATACAATAATAATAATATAACATTGATTTAACCTCTGCTTAATAGTATTAATGCAATGTTTTTATTATTTCGAAGTTTATCTCTTACAGATGTCAATTCGATATATATAATAATACATATATCGAATTGACATCGATACGAATACGAGTATCAATATCGAATACGAGTAAACTATTGTTAAAATAGAGCCGTCAGAGGGTAATGGATCTAACTATCTTTTGTTTTGTTTAGATTTTTACTAAACTTTACTTCATGAATTAAAAAAAGAGATGAAATAACAGGATAATTTATTATGAAGATAAAAATGTGTTAAAAATATGTCAGTATGCCTCTAAAATCCTTATGAAAAGTTTTAAAGGCAACGAATGCTTCGATATTTTTGTAACAACAGAAGCTCCAAAAGATCGCTGTTAATTAATCTTCTTTAGTTACCTTATTTTTTATTATCATGTCATAATGTTCAAAGCAAGGTCTTAAATATTATTTGTTAGGGTCAATTAAAACCACCTTACACAAAATTAAGGCCGTGAAAGAGCCTCCAGATCAGGAAACTGACAAACAATCGTGCGAACACGTCGTGGGAGTGTTACTACATAAAATATGATCACAAAAGTTTGTTATTGTTCACACCCACAGTTGATGCAGGAACAAATTGGTTAAGAACAAGCAAGTTTTAAATGAGAATTTCGCTAACCTACACAGTTCTACAGTATCAGGCTACACTGCTTTGAAACACTTACTAAATGCTTTGTGGCCTTCAGTGCCATTTTATTTTATATTATACAATTGTCGTGTGATAGATGCGTAAGAGAATCAAAAACCCCAACATTTTATTACGTGGGTTGTAGGTGGTGACTGTAAGTAACGCCAGAAAGATGTAAAGATTTCCAAAAATTAAATCTAATAGGATATATTACCACGTCACTTATGACAAATCTCTATATACTTATAAATATCAGTTGTTATCCGTTAGTCTCGCTAAAAATTAAAAAATGGCTCGACTGATTTTGATTCGCAATCGGACCCGGAAGGCGGCGCTGTTGTCGAAATCCAGAAATCACCCGTGCGAAGCTAGGACGGATAGCTATTGTAAAATAATTTACGGAAAACTAAAGGCGAGGAACAGCGACAGAAGTGCGAGACGTCCAGTATTGCTATCCGCTTGCTAAGATTGGTGATTAGGCAAAATCTTCCTCATAACGAGAGATCCATGTTCCCACGTTCAGCAGTGAATTTTTAATTACAGGAGTATCCACTGTAAAATATTATATTAGAAGTACTAATTCTGTAAAGCAAAAAAGATATGGAGTTAACACTTATCCTTAGACCCTACTAATTATTTTTGAAAACAAGGATTTTTGGGTGAAGTCCAATCTTACGCCAATATGTACGAGCCTCAATCCATTATTTTATTACAGAAAAGAATATTTGGAAAGGAATGCTTCGGTGGTTTGGTTATGTAGAAGGAATGAATGAGGAAAGTGCTATAAAGCAAATTTATGTTGCAGAAGTGAACGGCAGAGCCGACAAGGGACGCACTAGTGGAAGGAAAGTCCATAGTCTCTGCCTACCCCTCTGGGTGACGGGCGTGTTTTGATATGTATTATGTTTATTTAAAAAAAGCTCGACAACTTTTAGGAATTTTAAAATTAAATGATTAATAATGCAAGAAACCAATAACGTATAATTTCGTAGATATTTTGTTATAAAGGTAAATTTATTGAATCTCTATATACTGAAAAAAATGAATAAATATAAGCACCCCTTAGCATATGACGTATAGACTTTTTGTAACAATGTGCGTATTTTTGTCAATGTATGTGTGTGATTTTGATGTCGAGATAATTTATTATTTTAATATGCATGCATACCTGTAATTAAAACTTTCGCAGTGGAAGCGTTGTTCTGTCGCACATTCTCTTTGACAGTCTTCAAGCCGCTCACAGTTGACCACTCTTCTGACATAGCTCCTTAGTGTCCGTCTTCCAGCCAAAACCCGGCGGAAACATGCTAAAAATATACAATAATGTAAATAATTTAATTGTTTATTTTAATTATAGGGATAATATACTTTAAAAAGTACAGATTTCTTGTTTCTGTCTCTTCTAATACGAGACACGAACATATTATTATAGCTGACATAAAGCATTGATGCTTAGGGAAATTTTCAGCAACCATATTTAGGAAAGTTCCCGGCGTTACATTAGGTTTGATGGAAATTGATGTCACCTTTTTAAAAATAAACTTATCTCAATATAGAAGCTCTTACAAGAATAGCTTCTATCTGTTTGAAATTAAGTAACAGTAAAGTAGCAGTCTATGTACGTCCCACTGCTGGGAACATGCCTCCTCTTACTTCTGAGAGGGCTTTCGGGCAAGGAAGTTTCCACCACGCTACTCCAGTGCGTGTTGGCGGACTTCGAAAAAACATTTTTTTTCTCAGAAATGCAAATTTCTTCACGATGTCTTCTTCACCGCTGAGCAGGTGGCAAACCAGCGTATAAAACTGCAATTACCAATTTCATTCCGGGTTCAGTTTTTATTTAACCCGGGTTCGATCCCCGTAAAAATCATTGCCCCACTCATGATGTTATGAAGATCGAACCCAGGTTGCTTGTCTACTATGAAGTTTACAGCGAACGCCAAGCCCCTGAGCTACCATAACTCTTTAATTAATAGGTTAATTAATTTTTTTAAATAAATCTAAGCCCAAGCATGCTTATATTTATTTGTCACATGTCAAACACGAACGCGAAACGCAGTAAATTAAAAATAAGTCAAACAAACGCAATGAAGTCCGTAAAGCTATATTTATTTAAAAATTACCCACTTATCGATTCCTATCCAATATATTTAGAAAAAATTGTTTGTTGGTTTTTATGCGCTACCATACCGTTAATCAGATTGCGGTAAACTTTGTCAACATATTGCTTGCTCTTCCGCGAAAGTTATAGGCATAGTTGGACCCGGTAGGTGTCGCTGTTGTAGAATCCGTGTCCATAACCCGTGCGAAGCCGAGGCAGATCGCTAGTTTATTGTAATTTTACATTTAATAATTTCATTAACACTAACTGCTATAATATTTAATTATTTGCTGGACTTTAATCTTTTTGATTGCCCTATATGAGAAAGGGGGTGTGTTTTGGTTGGGGGGGAAGAGGTTGGCCCTAGGTGGGGGGGGCCCCCCCCAAAAGCGGGGACGCCTGGGGGGGGGCCTGCGTTTTTCTGTGGGACCAAAGAGCTAGTAAATTTCTGCATCTTTCGAAGGGATATTAGGTACACTTAACAAATGGTAAGAATTTACTAATCTTCTTCAACGGCTAGTAGAATGTCATTTTAGAAAATACTCTAGAATGAGATCTTTAAAAATCCGCGTAAAAGGATATATAGCCGACATAAAACACCACCACTCCGGGTAGTGTACAATCTGTGATCATAGCCTAAAGGGACCTCACCATAACATCAGATTTAATAGACCACAAATCCTCGCGAAAGTACATCGATTCCTACCAAGAATAATACGTGAGGCTATTGAAATTAAAAACATTCTTATTTAACATAGAGAAGCAGGCTGAGTACTACCACTTGCTTGGCATCCCGCTCTGACTTCGGTGTAACAAGTGAGTAGGAGAGAGAGGAACCTTGTGTGAGTGCAATAGTGATGATATCACTTGAATGTCTCTAACACATCACCTTACCCTACCAGCGCTTTAACAAGCGTAGCGTATGGTACGGGAATATTGTATCTAATGAAAAACCTAACCGTCATCGCATTCACTGACAGTAATATAAGCTTAAGTGTCTTTATTAGATAACTCTACCTGGCCAACGTTTCACATAAGCATTACGTGAGGTATGGGAAATGTACAACTAAAGGAGGACCTCTATAGTACCACTAAAATCGGTATTACTTATGTGTCTCTTAGACATTACTTTACCCTGCCAGTGTTTTAATAAGCGTAACATCAGTTACGTGAAGATCACAATTAATAAAGATCTCTGTATCAGCGCATACACTAAGGCGTAACTTGAGTATCTTTGATACATCACTTTAGACTGACAAACTTTACAACAAGTCAGTTACGTAAAATTACAACTAATAGAAGACCTCTATGTCAACGCGTACACTAGTAGTGATAATATCACTAAAACATTTAATGGACTAAACATTAGGTTCTCAGAATTCGTTATTGTGATAGGACGAAATCAAAATCAAGGGGACATTAATCAAGTTGGCTGACGCCAATAATAGGATCGTTAGCGTAGTATTTAAGGTTTTTTTTATAAATAAAATATGTGTGACAAACAAGCACACAGTCCACCTGACGGTAAGTGGATGCTGTGGCCCTAAACATCAACATCTATCTTCGATTAAGAATGAAAGTGCAAATGCGTTGCCACCCCTGAGGACTAAAATGGAATGCTTCGTTTCCAGTAAAAAGAGCCTCCGGTTGTCCACACTCACCATACGAAACACAGCAGCATTTAACTGCTATTTTACACTGATGTTCTGTGGGAGCGTGGTCCTTCCCCGGTCGACCCCGTTGTCACGAGTGACAACGCATCTGCATTTTGATTCGTAATCTATCCTCGATTACGAATCAAAATGCAGATGCGTTGTCACTCGTGAGGACTAAGATGGAACGCCTCGCTTCCAGTAAAAGGAGTCTCCGCTTCTCTACACTCACCATACGAAACACAGCACCATTAAGCTACTATTTTACGTTGGTATTCTGCGTGAGCGTGGTCCTTCCCCGGTCGAGCCGACCCATCCGTGCTACAACTATACTACTACTAGGCTGCACTAAAAGTATCGGGAATGGAATATTTCCACTGTTCCTGTCATATTAAAATCTTTTTAATTGAAAAATCCTTGGTTTTAAAAATCGAATACCATTTATTTATTTAAAAAAAGATTCTCGGTCTTGTCACTAGGTTTTGTCAAACTTGTTTAGTCGTTGAGAGAATGGAATTGACTCGAGAAAATTCAAGAGCGATGATTTATTATGACTTTAGAAGTGGTTTAACAAAAAAACAGTGTGTTGACTGGATGATTTCTGCATTTGGTGATGAAGCCCCATCCAAAACCACAATTTATCGCTGGTTTGCTGAATTCCAACGTGGACGTGTCAAGCTCAGTGATGATCTTGACACGTGCTGTGCGTAAGCTGATTGAGGAAGGTAGACATGTGACATACCGCGAAATTTAGGCAACTTTAGACATTGGCATGAGTCAAATACAAATAATCTTGCATGAAAAATTAGGTGTAAAAAAGTTGTTTTCCCGTTGGTACCGCATTCGCTGTGTGAAGAGCAAAAGGCGGCTCGCGTTACTTGGTGCGTCAGGAATCTCGAAAGATTCCACGCAGGATCCTCAAATGTATACAACATCGTATCAGGTGACGAATCCTGGATATACGCGTACGAACCCGAAACAAAAAACCAGTCACGAGTTTGGGTGTTCGAAAATGAGTTAAAGCCAACAAAAATTGTTCGTTCACGGAGTGTTGCAAAAAAAATGGTGGCCACGTTTGTCTCCAAAACCGGCCATGTTACGACTATTCCTCTTGAGGAATAAAGAACGGTTAATGCAAAATGGTATGCTAGCATTTGTTTGCCACAGGTCGTTTCTGAACTCCGTAAAGAGAACTGCAACCGCCGCATCATCCTCCATCACGACAATGCGAGTTCTCACACCGCACGCAGAACAAAAGAGTTTTTAGAGCAAGAATACCTAGAATTATTAGACCATCCGCCGTACAGTCCCGACCTAAGGCCTAATGATTTCTATACTTTCCCTAAAATAAAGAATAAATTGCGGAGATAGAGATTTTCATCATCTGAAGAAGCTGTGGACGCCTACAAAACGGCCATTTTGGAGACACCAACTTCCGAATGGAATGGTTGCTTCAATGATTGGTTCCATCGTATGGAAAACTGTGTCAAATTTCGCGGAGAATACTTCGAAAAGCAATAAATACATTTTTAAATAGTAATATTGTCACTTCCTTGATTCCCGAAATTTTCAGTGCCGCCCTCGTAATATAACTGCAGCATGGCTCTACCACGTATAAAATTTGTATGTAAACTAGTATATATACTTAAAGGTAAAGTCTATACATCTATACATCACCGGCGGCTATACATTAACGACGGCTCAGTGGCTCAGTAGCTTAATAGTGAGTTACAGCGCTGAGGGTCGCGGGTTCGAATACCACACGGAACAAGTTTTTATAAGGCCTACGAATAATTAACTGTTCCAGGTCTGGAAGTTTGTCCTCGTGAAATGTATGTATGTAAACTGCCTCCACGATATAGGAGAAGAGCATAATGTGGGAGTAACTTTTCTTTAATAATCATAAGTTTCAATTTTTTTTAAATAATCATAAGATAATCTATAATATATATAAAATAATAAATAAGAAACAAAATAAAAACGACTGATTTAAGAACAAACAACTAGCAAGCCCTAGTTATTGCTTGAATACTTTAGGACATAACAGGATGTTTTTGTAGAACCAAACTTTAAAATAAATGCAACGATTGCTTAATCTCCTTTTACGTATAAAAACGAAAGTCAAGTGAGCATTACTTCAGCTAGTAAGTTTAAATAAGGTAAGTTTAAGCCATACTGTTTTGGTAAGCATATACCATACATAAACAAATACATCCTTTTATACGCATTTATTATAGAAACATAAATTATATATATATATATATATATATATATATATATATATATATATGTGTGTGTGTGTGTGTGTGTGTAGGAGTTTGACAAAGATTTCTGTATAAAGGGAGTATCTAAGTATTCTATATTAAGTAGGTTTTTAAAAATTGTAATGAGAAGAAACAGTTAATATAATGTTTTCGAAATATTTACCTTTAAAATACTACATTAAGATACATAATTTGATAGAAATAAGGAATAAAAGAGAAAAAACATCGCGAGCCATTTAAAATTAGATGAATTGTGTGTTTCTAACCACCGAGTCATTTTCACTTGCATA